TTGGCGTGACAATCGCTTCCTTCCAAGCAGAGGGAAGGCGGCCTTCGTCAAGCGACTGACGAAACACCAAGTGTAAATGGTTTGCCAGTGTGGAGGACGTTTCTTTCAGGATCCTTGGATGGACCTCGTCGGGCCCCAACGCGCATAATGGGTTGATCTTGTGTAAAAGTTGACGAATGTCCTCCACCGTGAAGACCAAGTCGGTTAGAGGCTGTTCGTAGTTTCGCCTTGACAAGAGTGGACGAGTGACCAGAGTGACGAGGACGCTGTGGCTGAGTGTAGACACGCATAGTGTTCTCTGTAAAACTCAGATACTACTGTTGGGTCATTTGTCGGTTCTCCGTTTCTGTCCCTCAAGGAGAACGCGGCTTGTTTCTGCGGCGATATCTCATGTATTTGAACAGTACGTTTTTGTTTTTTCGAGCGAGGTCCAGAATGGTGGCTTGTTTTTGTACGTTCCTTTGGCGGATTTCCGATTTACAGCGGTTTCGCATTTTACGAAATGCCAGTGCATCTTCTGTATCCCCTGTAGTCAACCTTTTGAAAATGAGTCGGGATCTTTTTTTTCAGAAGTCGCCGAATGCTTTTCGGCACCCTGCGGTTCATCCGAATGCGGGAAGAATGTCGGTGCTACCATACAAATCTCCAACAATTCCGAAGATTCTGTGGCTAAAACAGCTTTTCAGTGAAAAAATTTTAACAGCAGACGAAGCTCTGTGAGGCATAAGCTGAGTTTTTTCGTGGATGATGGTGAGCTTTCATCCCTGCACATAGTTCAACCTATAGAGTAGCGCACTTCCGGCTGCGAATTCGGGATTCTGCTGAAAACCGATGGTTGGTTCCTGGGGTAACGGTTGCCCTTAAGTATACAGAAGGATCTCTACCAAAGAAAGCGGAATCTGCTTGAAAACGAGAGGCTCGGATCGCTTACACTATCTAGCGTGCTCGTCGAAAGACCAGTGGGATCAGCTGCGGAAAGTATTAACACTGCAAAAGCGAGCCTTTTTAGACTGATGAGGAACATGAAGGCATATAACGCCATCTCTTGATTCCCCTGCGAATCGTCGGTGACCAGCGATAATTTTCCTTGTTGTCTGACTACTCATAAGTAGCATGCCTCACACCCATTTATTATGACGCCGTTTTGTTTCCCCGCTGCTTGTTTTCCCACTGCTTCTTCCCTACTTAAGGTCTGCTCATTCGTTAGTAGTTGATGTCAATAAATTTTGCCCGTCCGTCATTGCTTGCAAGTTCGTCTCGATGGCACTTATTTTTCGAGTGTCCGCTTCGACGGAAAGGTGGGCTGACTGGGTATCGAACCCAGAGTCTAAGGACGGCAGGTGAACGCGCCATCCACCACACCAACCTGATACTAGGAAAGGCTTATTATTTTACGTTACCCATGCATCAAACCCTCCAGATAGCTTTTGCCGAGATTTGTATTAAACGGACAAAACCGCGCAATCTGACTTGCTACATGACACGAGCTGCTGCGTCGCGCCGCCGACCGAAAGACAGTCCCTGTCAGACTGGAAGCCCCCCAGATGTATGTTGTACATCATGTGGTGCTTACCTGTGGTTGCTCCTAGAAATCCCCACTGCGTCAGTGACTATTTTCCGCTCCTGCTGATTGCGTCATTATTGGTTGTACGTTTGCTTAATTTGTGATGTTCACTAATGCGTTTGACTTTAGAACCAGTTCCTGTCAGTCCTCAATATACCATCTGCTGCCCCACGTCTGTCTGCTCCTATTGACTACTGGCTACAAACTGCGCATAATTTAATAGCTTTAATCGTCCTGTGAGATCCATAACCTCCCGGATCTTACACCATCCAACCGACAAAGAGGCAGAAATCGAAAATACTTCCGGTGAACAATCGGCTGTTCAAGAAAAGGACGGGACCCCAAGTCCGAGGATGCCATGAATCTGTCCAAACGGCAAACGGCGAGGACATCCGTCGCACTGAACAGCTAACACGCTGGACCGTTTTGAATGCTATTACCTGCGACGGAGCTTCGGAGCAATTCTCAACCAGCGACCAGGTAGCGCCAAATAATATGAGGGGTAATCAAGGCTTCCTCATTTCACCGGCTGACAAGTGACACCCGGAAGCCATCATGAACAAATCAGACCACATAAACCAAACGAAAGCTCTACCAAAGAATACTGCCACACGCCAATGTCTAGCAGATGAGAAAACCATAAACTTGCAAAGTCAAGAAAGCGAAAGGAGTTTAAGAAATCGGCGACTGATGGATAACGGAAATCGAAGAATATAATACCCCATGTCCCCACCACCTCCCACAAGTGCACAACGAAGACATACTACTGAGACTAGTTTTTTCACAGTAAAATATTCGAAGCCATGTAATTAACTGACGCTCCTGCAAGGGCTATACACAGCGTGCGACTTGGTCACAGAGAAAACTAAATTCTAAAGCGTGCCGCGTGTGACCTTATACTGTAAATTGATTCTCGTTTTTCGGTACGTCCACTATCAACGTCTCAATGAGTACCAGGGGTGCGTTGCCCGCTAAGACCAGCCAAATGGCAGTTAGCTCAACGGATTTCTTGCGGTTGCTCACAACTATTAAAGCGATGGTGCGATAGGTGTTCCGAGTGATCATCAACGTCACAAAGGCCACAAGCTAAGTCTGATGTTCCCTCAACTTTCACAGCAAATAAATCTTACGGCCCGTGTTTCCTGTTTAAAATCATCCACTTTTGGAAGCTTTAAACTTGATCAACAACATAATTATTGCAATGGAATTATTTGCCATAGTGCGCTCATCAAGCATTGCTGGATTTGTCTTTGTAGTCTCCGACTCCGTAGTGAAATCAGGAGCGAATAAAGTTTATGAGGAATTTTAAAACTGGGAGAAGTCGCACTTCGAAGGCTCTTGGAAAGGAGTCTTCAGCCAGGGGAGCCTTAATTATTGCAGTGGTATTCTCACGCGAATATACGGTTATTCGCAAACCTCTCCTCAACACTCGCAATTCTACTCCGAAGGGTTGCATAAGCTTTTCAGATACTGGCTGAAGCTCCTCCTCAGCTTGAAGTTAAGCGATGGATCCATGTGGACTTCATTGCACTCGTCTTTGCACGATTTTAGGTGTAGGGGTTTTTCTGTCTTGTGGCCGCACGCCTTCGCCTTTGTGTATTAGCCCCTGAAAACACGTATTCATCGTACAGCGGTGAAATATGCACGAATATATGGGTAGTAAACACACTTGAATGGAGGCGAACGCTGCTTCTATCGATGAAGTGCTACAGCCTTAGTGTCCCGCCAGAATGATCATTTGTTGCTACAAATGTGGTAAATGAAGCTGAATTAGTTAAGAACGTTTTGAATACCGAGGAAACACCTGTCAACATTCCCCAATCGCATGTGATATGGGCTCTGTATCATTGTTATTATGTCCTCAATTTTTCACTTATATTCTCAAAGCCCGATGCACCGTCCTCCGATCTGCAACACGTTACTCCTGACTCTTATTATTAAGAGCAACAAAGCCCACGGCACCAAGAATCGTCATTCGCTAGAATCATTTAGCCGTCATGCAGCTTGAGCGTTATACGAAGAGAACCGAGCTCAAAAGAACACAATGTTTCGGGTAAGGTGTAGTCTAATTCACCAACGGACGGTCAGTAATAATTGCCAAAACCAAATTCTACGAAATTCACCTGAGTTTGTTCAGCAGCCGCGATTGGGCAGTGAACAGTATATTGAATTTGACTTGGGCAGAGAGTATAGATATGTAGACCATGGTTCTATGGGAAGTTAACGGTAAATCGTGAGGAGAAATAAAGAGAGGATGAAGGCTACATTGAAACTTGGACAGGTAGCAACAGCGGATAGCATATGAAGGGCAGTCTGCTATCGGACAAATTAAACGGAAAGTGTTGTTCAGCTCAAAGTGGGACAAATCTCCAACAACAAACCCAGAAATAAATGCAAACAAATCGTCTATAGAAAAACGGTTGAAGCAGAGTCGACTTTGTATAAAATGGAACAGTTCAGTTTTGAAACTTAAACAATCGACGGAAGGGTGAAATGGCCTGTGAAATAGGGAAACAAACAATTACGTCACGCAATTACCAGTTACAGGCAGAATAAAAGCGTAACTGCTGGGGATTGTGGGCACATGAGGGGGGTTAGAAGAAGGGACAGCGTTATAGGGGGTGGGTAATATTCGACGCAGGCGTGGTTACAACCGAATCGGCTCTGGCAGGGAATCATGGCTACCATTCGATTTTGGAGAGAATATCGAGCAAGATCAGATCGTCAGGATTTGAAGTTGACGGGCAAGAAACAGAGCGAGGGAGGACAAACATGATAAAACACATGACAACGAATGTGCAAGCGTGAAATATGAAGAACCAGGACATCAGATCAGGTGAAGCAGCAGATTTGGCGTCATTCAATCGATTAAATTGAACTGAAACCTGAAACCACCGCTAAGGCCACGTTGCCTTGGACTATTGGGCTCATGGCCAGGGTCACAAAATGAGTAAGTAGGGATGACGAAGCGGAGGGATTGGCAAAGCGGATGCGTGGGAATAGGAACTTCAGGAACATGGTGCACACTGGTGGAGAGACTGTAGAGACTCACTGGTGGCGCTGTTTGGGGGTCGAACATAACAGTTTCTTGGACGAGCGGGATGATTGCAGCGTACGAGTCGGAACAGGATCTGTATACAAAGTCAATGAATTTTGCGGGAAGCACAGACACACAGAAATGGTTAAATTCGAATTAACGATTCAGCAGACGCGAATAAATATGTCATGGAGGCAGCTGTGGTCAGGTGTGTAGCTTGTTCGTATTCGCAGTAAGTGGAACGCGTGGGCGAGATGATGCGGTCGAATTGAGCGAATAGTTGCGGGTGTGCAGTGCAGTTGTGGGTGTGGCAGTGCAGTGGCATCATTGGCCTGACATACTTCGGTTTTCGGAGAGCCCCGTTACGGGCGTCAGATTTAAGGTCATTGGGCTAGCACGTGCGATTCTTTGAGCAGTGGGATTTTTTCAGGCTGGCAAGCAAAGCGAGGTACAAGCGAGGTCCGTTTCGGGCTCCTGTGGACGTAGATCACAGACCAAGTGGGGTGTACAACAGCCAACCAGGTCGTCGGATTCGGGCATTGCCGAAGTTCAAAGTCTGGGAAAACGAGGGGATGGGATGAGAGTAGTAAAGCATTTTGCGTTTGAGGATACATCAAATGGAATCGTGGCAATAACATACATAAAATAAGTACTTAACAAATACCGCGATTAGGGCTATGTCAACAAATTTTGGGATGAACTAGGGATCGATTTCTACCAAGTATTCTTGCGACCACGGGTAGGGTTTGCTAAAATACAATACTAAATTACAAGCGATCTAGTAAAATCCGATGTAAGCACGCATAGTGTTGGTGTGGTTAAGAAAATCAGGTGTGTAATTGCTGATGGGGGTGAACTTTCGAGGTGATGGACCGGTTGTATTCGGTGTTTACTACACGAGTTGGATAGTACAGGAGAGAAAGTAAGTGTAAAAGAAATGGTCACTAGTTCCTGAAGCACCACTATCAACTTCAATTTAACAAGTGGTACTAGCGAACAAAAAGCCTTTGGGCAATAGTATTGCATGCCGGTAGCTTAGTGTTAGGAGCCCCTATATACATATGTTTCTCACTGTATATGTTGACTCCTGGGAGCAATGGGCGGTTGCGTGTTTTTTGTTCGGTTGGCTACGTGGGCTTCGGTGCGGTACAACCACAACTATGACAAGGGCAGATACGGCTCCGCGCGTCAATGTAAACCATGGGCATTACAGGGTCTCCAGGCTATTTCATTTGTGTTTTTTATGAATTTCTTTTTTTAACAGACAAGAGGCCCGTTTCTTTCGTCTTTCAGTTTTTCATCGTCTGTAGCTTAAAGCTTTGCTAGTTAAATGACGCAACCGGGACGAGTTCAGCCCAACAGCAACAAACGGAAAACAGTGATGCTCTTTTATTGATTTTATGAATTTAAGGCCATGCTCAAAGCCTCCAGCACCCGTGCTACTGGATGGAAGGCGGGTATACGAACGCACCATGGTGCAAGGCAACAGGGCGACCTTTTCTGCAGGACGTACCGACCACCACACGAAGTTTCCACCCCTCGTTCATGATACCAGGTCTGCAAGGTGGCATGCCACCAAGCAGTCATAATTGCAGCTTGTGCATTACCAAAGAACTCCAGCCACCAGATATTTTACCCGCTCAGGGGAAAGCCAGGCCAGTAAAACAGCTCAGTCACTTCAAATAAGCAAACGAAAAACGGCCGCTGGAAACGGCAGGTCGCGGGGCAAATGAAGCGGTAGCTGCAACTGTGACAGTGGGGACAGAACGAAGGTGGCCAGAGCGTATGAATCACGGCTAAAAGATGACCAAGTGTTAGTTATCGAGACTAACAGTGGCGTACCGCAATGTTATGTGCGTGTGTTGAATAGGTTGCGAGGCGTATAATCCGTTCTCATGTATGGGGAACTTCGAGTTATGCTTGTTTTATTTTGGTTTGGGTTAGGCAAGATAAAGCGCTACTCACTGAATGATGCGGATAATGTAGTCCAAGGCAGAGACCCAGCTTGAAGGAACATGACACAAGTTGCTTTGAGCAAGTCAAAGAGGTGGCAGGGTATAGTAAGGAGGTAGCTTATTTTTAATTATCGCTTGCACTATTTTTCCTCCACTAACTATGCCCTCGCCAAACTCAGAGGTGGTCTGTACCCCGGGCATAAAAGAGGTTGGGGGACAGTTAGGTATTAATTAGAGCGTCTACGGCCTCACACGTTAGGAAGTTGTCTACATGCTGGGAAAACGTGTGTCGATGTGTGACATTTCGATGTCGATCGTGGAGCTTGTTCCAGATGCGAGTGTAGTAAACCAGGAATAAGTAGTGCCGTAGGTTTGTACGAGCTTAAGGGTACACTAAAACGTTGCTGAATTTACGGAATTCACAGCGTGTATATGACTTTAAGTTTGGCCTAGCCTCCGCTATAGAAGCATTCCGGCACAACAGACGGTGTAAGATAGTTAAATTTGGCTTTAAGCATCTCAGTCATAGTGTCTCAAGGCCGACGAGTATACCGATTATACCGGTGGTAGGAGAGAGGGTTAGTCCGCTATAGAAGCATTCCGGCACAACAGACGGTGTAAGATAGTTAAATTTGGCTTTAAGCATCTCAGTCATAGTGTCTCAAGGCCGACGAGTATACCGATTATACCGGTGGTAGGAGAGAGGGTTAGTCTGTGGAGATAACTTTTTGGTGAATGAACGTCAGACGATCTCAAGTTCCAGCCTACAACTATGAGTATGAAGGAAGAGAAAGCAAGACAGAATTCTACAATTCGTCGCACTCGCAGCTTGAAAACTGCGACCTTTGTGTCTTGAAGATGGAAGGGGGGTAATATTTCAAAGGCAGAGTCTACGTACTCGGACAACCTGGAACTGGAGTTGTCGGGAAAAACGCAAGGTGCAAGAGTATCTGAGACCAAGGACTTTGCTTTCACTGGAATGAGTGATATGGTTCCCATTGATTCGGAACGTATCAACTGGGACCGAGCAGTGACAAAAAGTAATGTGGGACTTAGAAGAAGATAAGCTTAGATTGTAGGCACTTGATCAGTGAGTCAGACACTTTAAGTCTTGTTGGAGCCGACGAAAAACAGGAGTTTAATCAGAGGGAGGAAATGAGTAAGCAATATTTATGCCGTCAGCGGAAAGGTGTTTACCATGAGGTATGGCATTGAAGACGTCACTGGTATACAGCAGGAAGAGGATGGGGCCTGACACGCTCCCTTGAATGACTCCATCGATGAACGGTAGCGAGGATGATTGTTTGTCATCAATTTGTGTCCAAGTAACAAGAATAGACAGACGATAAATATGTGGTAACTGTTCGTCGGTCTCCTCGACCCTAGCAGAAGGGGTAGTTTTTTACAGGCTTCTACTCACATGTAGCCAGTGTGGCTTCATTTTAATTTTTTAATGTCTCAAAATAATTTATGTGCCACAGACATGGGCGCAATTGGTGCTTTCACTGTTGTGGCGTAGCGTAGTCACCTGAACGTCAAGCATATGTCACGAATCACCACTCGACCGTCAAATAGTTATCTTTCTTTCGACCTCATTATTAGTGAGAATTCGCTGGTCAAAATCATCAACTACTGAGCATCCTCTGGCCGTGGTGGTCATTTGGCCCTTGAAATTAGATAACTGACTTGTGCTGTGAAGCGCGTCCTCCGACTTTCGGTACCGCAAGAAGCCTAACTATAACCCATGCGGTGTCTGGTTAATACTAGAAACTTGAGGGCTACGGACAGTTCCCGAAAAGTTCTGTAAGCTCAAGGTTGGAAGCTGCAGTACTTACACCAGCCGGAGAGACTAGTTGGAACGTTTGTATCTCGGGTGGATGTAAATTGTTATCGCGAAAATGACGCTTTATTGGAGCTTCATGGCAAGGCTACGAAGGCATCAGCATACACTGTACCTCAGTACTTTGGGAAGCCAAGAAGAACTGGTAAGCTTCATTAATGGCCAAACGCACAAGAGTGGAGGCTTCTGGATAAAATCATGAACCGGCCCAGAACATTGCAACGCAACACCCCCAAAATTTCCGAACATTTGGAGTACATTTTACGTATGTTTTCACCTTTGAAAAAATGATGTTTCTTGTACCGACATTATCATATCAGGAAGCTTATTCTTCGCATTAGCCTAGCGGCAAGGAAGATTATACGAAACTTCATTCGATGCCTACCCTTCTTTATTTCACAAAGATGGCCGTATGTCGAGCGGTCCACTTTACAGACCACTACCCATTTCACGTCCTTTGAGAGCCATGGATCTTATTTCTGCTGAAAAGCAGTGAACGGGTCCTAAAAGTCACAGTCTTCTGTCACCTGTGCAGTACGAAGACACTTTCAGTCTAACGAAACCGGTAACCGGCAAACGCCTCGACGGAAGACCCTGCAGGAGAACATGAGTTCGATATTGACTGCTTAACTTGCTCTTAACTGCGTATAACATGAACTCGATTTACAAATACTGACTATATTCGGCCTATTTGTTTTTACATCGGATACCATCATGCATAACACCAGGAACATTGATATATTTGACCCTAAAAATACGCCAATATTTGTGAGTTTCTGACCAGTTGTCCATATTTTTCCGAATGGTGGACGCATTCAGACGAGTGGCTATATACTTATCAGACACTCAAACAAACTAATTGTCTGAATAAGGTAGAGAATGTTTAAAGAAAAGCTTCATACGACTGGAACTCAAAAGTTTTGCAAATCGGTTGACGTATGCATGCCACTCAACTCAAGGGTAGCAAGTGCGCTCCCTCTACGGCCAACTGCTCAATCACACCAAGGATATAAATGCCTACGTGAATGATGGGTTTGGTATCGGGCAACATGGCTACGAAGCACGGTCCATCTTCCTCACTTCTCCCGACAAATATTTTCTCCAATTTTGTACGAATTTAGCTTCGCAGTCTTCGGGGGAGAGGAAATCCGGATTGAATAGAATGCATAAACGCATCACTTATTGGTCTAGTGTACACGCATCAGTAATCGGATTCTGGTGAGTTGGGATATGTAGCAAATTCCTACAAAAATCCGAAAACCATAAACCAAAAACCAAAACTATCAGTTAACTGTCAGCTGGATATTTGAAGTTTAACTTTTGTTTTTCCGTACCATGTCTGGAGCGCGTTAGTCCACTAGGGTTGCCCACATTAAACCTTAAAATTAACAGCTAAAATAAACCTTAATAATAAGAGAATTCGCCCCCTCTATTCAGGCTTTCTATTTTTCTTTCGTATTCCGTGTAATAAGAATGTGATGTGCAAAATTACCGTTATTAAAAATGTCTGATACTAAAACACAACCGACAGACCTCTGCACAAATCAGCTGAGCGTAGCAAAGCCGCTATTTTGCATCACCGGATGCTTCTTTCTCTCAGTATATGATCGATTGGCTCGGGTGTTTCGCCGATACTCAGTCCTGAAATTTCCCAAACTTAGCCAACGCTGAGTTGCGTACCCAGCCCAGGCTGTACAAGACGCATGGTCGACAAATATGAATTTATTGTGCATAATGACTGGCTACCTTTCAAGCTTTACGATTACTTTAAATTTGGTTGAAAATATTCAGCTGAATCTCCCTTGACAGTTATGTTGTGCAATCATTTATCAACAACGAGGACCACCGTATTGCTTTAACCGTCCGTCCAGGTTATTCTTAATAGGAACCCACGTGAAGTATGTACGTTTAATTGACCTGAATGAGTGATTGTTCAACACAGTAAGGCTTTTGGACGTGAGAATAGGGGAGCTCACTTTCCCATGCACCGGTGTGCCAGATGGTTGGGAGGATAATGCATTTCAAAAGATCCTTTTCAACGACAAAAGTATATTTCAGCCTAGAGTCACGAATATCTCTGTCAGAACGGATGATCATACTCTACCCATCCGTTTCTCTTGGGCGCTCATTTGTGATTGCTTTCAGTATTCAACCATAGCCGGGTAAATAATAAGGACGAATTCGGTTTCATATACGTTCAGAGACGTGCCGACCGGGAGGTCAACAAATCTGCCAGTTTCTGAATGCATTATGCGTGATTTTTTTATGAGAAATCTATTCTGTAAGTATTCAAAAATGTGAACACGACATACTGACTCCCCACCAGAATGCAGGAAAAGACACTGGACATTTTAAGTCAAATTCTGTCAAAATCGTCAAAGTTCATTCAATACACAGGTGAAAAGTTAACTTGAAAGGACACCTAACAAAAGCCCTTCTGAGGAAAATCACTTGACCTCAGAAAATCATAGACTGGATGAAGTCCAGCTTTACAATTGGAACTCATTAAAGAGTCACAAGTGAGGAAACATGATAACAAGCCCTTATTCATAAATCCATCTGTTAGTCCCAGAATCGTTCACGTCCTGAATTTCCGTAAATTTCAGCCGTTTTGCAGTAGAATAGGACAACACGACGTCGACACATTGATAAGTTAGCGAGTTGTGAAATGACTGACAAGTGAAAACTCACTAATAGTGCTGAATTATCCCGTTGCTTCTTGGTCCGCTTAATTTGAATGGAGGCCTGCTAGTCAGACATGTCATCCATTCGAATAGTCTCTTCAGGACTGTAAAGATCTACCCAAACGAGAGTGATATAAATAATAAAACAACAAGGAAGACATTAGTAATGTGACAGATAGGGGTTGAACAGTGTTATGTAGCTAACGTGTTATACACCTCCGTCAAAAACTCTTTTAAAGACATCCTGTTTTCGGGGTTCATCAGTTGAATCGAAGATCCTTGTAGTGTTCTAGAAGACTGACGATGCTCGTGTTGTAGGTGGTATTAGTTCGTACAACTCGGGGACAGTGAGCCCGTTCGAAGTTGCCTTTGACCATTTCGTAATACTTCCCGTCACTCAGTGTCAGAGACTTCAGTCTGGAGCACTTTAGCCTTTTAAACGGAATAGGATAAAGAAGAAGGATGGATTTAATTTATTTTGGACGTTGAAATGTCGTGCAGTGGGTCAGCTGGGTGAATTTCACTCCTATTGAAATACTTTCACATCACATGATAAAAGTTTGAAAAAGATGAGTTCATTGTTATCTATGATGAATGTACTGAAACCATGATGAAGATTGTAGAGAATACTCAGGTAAACCTCAGTGCTGAGCATATTAAGCGTTTTGGCATGCAGCAACAGCGAAAATAATTCTGTTGCATGCATAACCAAGGTGTTCCAGTGATCTTGAACCGGCTGCTTGTACTCATGAATATTCTCGTGTAACATACCTGGTTACGTAGAATCGGATTACTGTAGTCCATTTAGGATTGAACTTCCCAAAATCAAACCATATGTTTGCCTTGAAGAAATTTTAGATAAAATACCACCCAACTTTAGGAGCCCCACGTGTGAAACCCCTAGGAGAAAACATTTTTGGAAGCGAAGTCTCGGGAGCTTACCTGCCGGTTAAGTCGTGCATTTGAGAACATGCTCCAGTGTGTATTTGAGATTTAACAACGTTTCCAGGAGATTCCATGTTGACGGGTGCGTAAACAGACAATACACTAGTGTGGTTTCGGCGCGGTTGCTGTGGATGAATGAGCCACTCAAAAGGGCCCAAATGTTCTTTAGATATTAGCCTAACAAGGCATTCGGACTAAGCACTACTACAAAATTCAGTGCAATACCCTTCGGAGGTTTAGCTGCATTTAGACTATCCTTAGGTACAAACGCATATAAATGTTGTAATACCATGTTCTCAGGGAGGCATGAGGAATTGCCCATTAGGTCTGACATCTATTTAATTTCAACTAAGTAAGCGGTACTTAGAGCTTGAAAGAAAAACATTGCGAGCATTCATTCCGGGTTGATAGCCCGCCAACCGAAAAGCATTGAAAAACACACCACATATACGGACCATATGGACAGCGTTCCTTGTCTTTCACTGAGCATACGATCCGGGCGGATAATCGATTATGCTGGAGTTTGGGAGATCGACCTAAATGACACGAGGAACGCTGAACTAGGTCCAGTCTAACTACCTCTACAATTAACAGGTCACAAACTCAATCGAATAACAAGATTCAACCAACATTCGGCTACTCTGGGAAAGACCACAGGGTACGAATCAGTGAGGTCAAGCTAAAGGGCCGCCTGGACTTCGAATAGTCAGAACACTAGTGAAAAATTCAGTGAGATTAGCAGCAAGATTATCCATCGGGGCAAACAATGAAGATCGTACATCACTTTGTTTCAGAAGTAGGCACATAAAGTCGCGCACACCACTACTCACGGTACAACCACCAAAGCGCAGCACTGCTCTGGTCCACAGTAACTCATCAGTGATTTTGACTTGACTGGGATCGGAAAACTCTCAAGAAAAGCTTCCATGCCCAGTGACTAGCATGATTACCAGTACATTACCGTAATTTTGTCGATAAAACACATTTACACGCAACGTTTAAGGAAGTCAATCCCCATGACCAAACATCAGTGCAGAATTTAGGTGATTTTTGCCACTTAATTTACTGCCAAGATGGTGGCTGAAATGATCGCATAACAAACGGCCTAAGTGCGTCTCAATGGAGATTTTGTCACGCAACTAGTTTGCCTATGCCCAAATTTGAGGATCATTGTACAGGTGATCTTTTCTTTCTTTTGGTTGACCAAGCAAGTCTCTAGAGCTATTCTGATCCATGATCATCTGATCACTAGCTGAACGATGCATCTTTCGGCCACTGGTCTTCGAATAGTAACATGATTAATCTGCTACCGCCTTTTACTCATAAAATACACCTCATTTAATGCACTCACTGCTGATTGGTACCTGGAGCACAATCTTGTTAGTAGAAACGATTGTGCGTCTTGTGGGATCTTGCCCATTCTGAACATGAATCACCCGAGAGATTTGTGACGCTCTCTCAGCTGATAGTTTCAAGAAAGCACGAAACAGGTGTACAGCGTTACTTGGCTTGTGTGTATAGACTGAGCTTACCCACAATATGTAAACTCTATTGAAATTACAGTATCTCTTCAGTGTCTGCGATTTAGAACTTCATTACAGTCCGCCTTGAGATGCTCTGAGTAAACGAAACTCCCGATCAGCTTAGTGAATGCAAACTATAAAGTCATTTTTTTCTTACCCAATAAGGTTTGCAGTTTTTATACCGAATAATGTGCTTCTTCAAGCCTACAGGTCCTATGCTGAAACTCCTGCTGTTCAACATTCAAAGCTAAGAAACTCAACATAAGGTTATAAGGAAACAAGAAGGTTTGCATTTTTATACCGAATAATGTGCTTCTTCAAGCCTACAGGTCCTATGCTGAAACTCCTGCTGTTCAACATTCAAAGCTAAGAAACTCAACATAAGGTTATAAGGAAACAAGCGACTGTAAAAGAAACACGAAAAACAGCATACGGGTTTAATTTGTATTCAGCCCTTGCTGTGTGTAGTTTTGGCTTTGCTTGGAGCGTTTTCAAGTTTAAAACCTTTCTTACACGAAGCATCAAATAAAACCTCTACTTGTTGCCATTTACTGACCTTATTCGATCTATGAATTTCCGGCTCTTGTCACTGAATCTGATTGTGTCCGGGTCCCACTGAATTTCCAACGCTTCCAAATTGGGGCAATGGGCAGCAAAACTTTCGAGGATTTTGTCGATATGAACCCGTGTGTTGTACTTGAAAAACCAGCCGTGCGCGGCACCCAGAACACATATCCTTAAACGAGACCAATCAGAATAGCTTGTGAGCAGCTTGAAATAGGTCACAGAATATGAAGGCATCGAGCAAGTCAGAAAAACGGGTGCCCGTGACTTAGGGTGTGCAAGCATGAGGGCAACGTTTTACAAAAGAATTCTCATTTTTCTGTTTCTGATTTGACCATCATCGTTCCATCAAGTATTATTTCAGTTGGTTTTGCTTAGTAAAATATTCAAAGACGTCATCTTCAGACGCTATACGCTGTATGACTTTTCAGATTCACTAGGTCTCTGGGCAGCAAACCTTACAATATAATCTTGACCGATTTTATTACTTTCTTCTACAAGAGTTTGACGCTTACAGCCAGATGATAATTCAATTAAGCAGCTTAATGACTTAAGAACAGTTCAATGAACCACCAGATTTGTGAATGGTCTGCAATAACCGGTGGACATGGAAGGCGAGTATTCCCGGACAACGATTTACAGGGTAACAAAAGCCGAGCTCGTCCTTGTGAAGCCCAAATTCCTTATTAAGGTTAAGGTTAATCAGCTGGGTTTACCAGTATAAGCCGCGATTATGAAATGATAATTCAAAGACAATCTACTGAGTGAACAACGGTACGATTTCAAGTCTCTGGCTCACGAAAATCTATAATGCAAACCAGCTAGTAAACATGCGGACGGTAGAAGATTTTCAGTAGGCTGTTTTTCGCTCAGCAAGACGTCACCGGGAATATGGAACGCAGCTTAAAGACCTTAGTATTCCAACTGTAAGAGCATTCTTCCGGAAACAAGGTCCTGGTTACGACGATAACTATGCTTCTGACCAGAAAGATCTTTCTCTCCCTATGATAAAACTCGTTAAAAGGACAAAATTTTGTGCAGAAAGGAACTCTGACGTCTACTGTAAGGTGATTTTAAACAAAAAAAATGCCACTGTCTACAGAAAGGCGATATTTCCACATTTTTAAGCTACCGGAGACTCAAGTTCTTGCATTATTAATTATGAGGTGACATCAACCATACTGATTTTGTAGCCTTTTGGGTTGACATATGTCGGCTGTGCCTAGCTTGCACATTGAGACGTGGATTTTAAAGAAGCCTATAACGCAGACACCCTTTGAGCTGTAAAATTCCCTGGCTTTGGGAATTTGAAACTGCCAAACGATGTAGGTAGTACTAAATAGTCGCAGAGATGAGGTGCACTGGCCACACAGTCACATTGAGCACAGTTTTCTCCACTCACTTTATTTGTACAAAAAAAACAAGTACCATGGATAACTATTTAAAGGTTTGTTCATAACTGGACGCAATACCAAATGGGACTACACTACTGGAATTAGTAACATTCAGTTAAGTAACTTGATATGACGTAATCGGAATTGGGAGAGTTCTGCGCGATAGTTCATGCATGAGCTGACTAGTGTTTAAATCACTACGCAGAATGGCTATTCCCAGATAAGATAGGGGAGTGTTTCAGGAGAGCGTTAAAATGGCAAATACTATTTGTTTATTCCCAAACCTACTGAGTATTATGGTACACTTCACAATGAATTGATTTTTGCATTGTACTCTTTAAAAAAGACATGAATTCGATAGCATAAGTTCATTCATTAGTGATAAGTGAGCAAGCGTCCAAGTGGGCACACGGAGGTTGTTAATTATTCTTTTATTTTCAGGAGGCTCGATATTGAAGAATATATGCAACTAATCTGCAAGTGTGCTTTTACGCAGTAAAGTTTTATGTAGGCCAACTTCATAATTGAAATAGGTGTTCTTAGGAACTGGTAACCACTGATTGAGCATCAATTTCCAGTTCCTATGGGACTCAAAATGTCGAAACTTTGCGTCATCTCAAACCACCCATAGTCATTCTACCCATGTTTTACGACCATCCATCGTTTTTTCTCTTATTCTATCCAATATTCCGTTGGTAGGCTACATTATTTCTAAAAGAAGTTGTCCGATATGACCAACAGTTGATATTAGTAACCCATTGCGCTATGCCATTGCTATCTGAGTGTAACTTCTGCAGTCTCCTGGACACGTCTGTATCGGACCAAACTATGCATGTCAATTACAGAAGTATGTGCTGATTAGAGGTTGTATACCTGTTGACCAGAATGCTTACAATTGATTATATATTGGCTTCCCTATTACACTTGATGAACTCATCTATTTTTACATGCAGTTCTATCACCCACCACCAAAGGGGACTCTCCTACTGGTTGAAAGTTGTCTGATATTTTCTAAGCCAAACTGAACACACTGTGTCATAAACATCTATTGGACAACCGCCCTTTTATAAACATCCCAATGTCACCATTTTTTTGGTGTACGAATCTGACATGAAGTTTTCGTCGTGTCTTCTACTTCCATCCACATTGCACTCAGCTTCACTGGAAACGGCGAAACGGGAACTGTTACAGCTGCTGAATGTGGCACAGATGAGGAGTCAACACGAATCATCTAAAAGAGGTGTATGCTAGAGATTTACATCATCTGGCCAGCGCACCTAATTCCGCAGCATTGCGGACATGAAATGTAAGAGAAACTCAAACTATCCGACATGTAAGCCCCATAGAATCTGCATCAGTGGTTGTACCAATGCCGAACTTTAGCTTATTTATGAATTCCTGATGAAGATAAGATATTCAAAGCAGGCTATAAGTAGCCAACTCAAACAATAGACAAGCAAAAAACACGAAAGCTCATCAGTAGACAGAAAGTCCATCTACGTTTTTTCTCCGTGAATAACGAACATGGCCTTCGAAATGGTGGCTCCTCACCTGACCTCTGCCTTGGAAACGGCGTTCAACGTGGTCCCTTGAAGGTCACATTTCAGCAGCGGCCCACCACTTAACACCAAAATTAGGGATAGATTATCGGTCTGTGAATAAACAAATAATCAGTTGACGGTGTTCAGCATGTTATGTAGACCCAAATACTCGGCGCCCATCAGAGACAATTCTTGAACACACGCTCGGCTACTTGGCCAGGAGCGTTACGGCAGCGAAGCATCGGTGATGAACACTGATGTTATGCTCTCAATGATGATGATGACCAGGTACGTGACAGGGGGGATTGCTGCTCTTCTGACTGATAATGACCACCAAAGAAATCTGGAGAAATCTTCCTAAGGTCGTGCACCAAAAAGCACACCAAACAGTCCAGGAACTTACTACTGAGTTACTTGACCACACCCTGTGTCATCAGAAGGACTTATGAAGGCCCTGAGACTGTCTGTCCCCACAAGTCACAGCCTCAGAAAACAAACGAAGCAAATGATATCCTTGTTTCAGACCTATTTTAAGCCTCTTCACTGCTTTTTAATTACATTCCATATTCTATAGGTCTAGTTGTCAAAATAGATGCCATCAAAACCGTATGTACGCAGATCTTCGTATACTGATGTATATGACGTATATCTAGGTGCTTCTTTTCGTCGGAAAATTACAGCCACCGCCTCAATGTATGCTTGTACTACTGTTAGTTTTTGTCGTGGCGATGAGTGAGTGTCTCTATTGGGAGCATTAACTCTGCCTGTAATCGAGCGTGGACAGTCAAGGAGAATGTCAGCCAGGCCCAATAGACCAAGGTCACTTCACTCAGGTGTATCCCAGGTAACAGGACGTGTCAAATATCAACCCACTCTCTATGTGATTCCCTGTTGACCCGTTTCTTTGTGTCTGGAAGTAGGAAATTTCGCACACATTGAGCGTTTGCGGCGATTTCCTAATACTTTGAAACAATTTTTATCTATCAGGTTCCAAGAGACCTATTCATGTGTCTACTTTTTGCACGGTTATTTTGATCCGGTAGCAAATGGGTCTAGGTCGGCGAGATATGTTGACCATGAGACGTGTGTTTAGGGCAGCACAGCTGGTTTCAGTCCAGTAAGAAAGGCTTAGTAAAAGGCGGTTTTACGCTATAAAATCGACTGATGGCTGCTATTGTAATCTATGAATTATCAATTTTATAGCACATTGAATCTAGTAATAGCCCACCGCCCATAAGTTTGCTGGGGACTCTTCGAACGCCCGCTACCAGTTTTGCCCATCTTAGATCATCAGGTAGGCGCAGTCCTACCTACCATAAGCCGCATGTTCTACTAAGTGAACCTATATTTGATGGAATTCGCCACGTTCTCTGATTTGTTTACTGATTTGGTTTTGATGGGAGACTCAAATGAATCAAGCAGAATCACTCGTTTACAATGGGCTGCTTCAACTCACTGTCTCAGTTGGTACTATATTCGAGGTATCGCAGTACACTGTCTAAACTTAAAGTTAAAGTAATTCATCATAAAAGTGGAATTCAGCTGGATTCAGTAGGACAAGAGAAACGATGTAAAGTGATTAACCTTACTTGACTGAACGCAACGAAGAAATCACATTTGTCCAAAAGTATTCAGCCAAAGATGCTTTCCCGTGAAGCATCAAACCTTCCAAATTGTTCCCGTAAGTTTTCAGAAAGTTTGTAATGGACTGCTCGCCTAATGAAGGGGTAAAACTAAGATCGATCGCCCTGAGTTTGTGGAATTTGCCAGCTTCACAAAGATGATTCAAAAGCTGAAAAAGATAGGAAGGTGGAACGTGAAGTATTAAGCATTTGGTGTGCCTACAATTCTATGATTGATTCTTGGGATGATTTATTTCGGAACTGAACGATCTTTTTGAAGTATGATTTTCAAAATCAGCAAGAGCTGTCTCGGACGAAAAATCCGGGATGATAGCCTCATTATGCGTTTACCTTTTTCTTCTAATTTTGCAGTCCTGACATTGTTCCATTTCGCTATACATACACCTGTAACCACGTATTCAGTCGTTCGATGAAAGGAGTTGAGCCGTCTGTTTGACGACACTATTTCGGGATTCAAATTATTCGACGCTTGCATCCCATACCAACTAAAGAAAACTCAGTAGTGTGTGGATTTACTCATAAAAAGTGACGAATTTCAAAATGAATGCTAATCACTACCAAGCCGACCGTCCTAAACAAGACACCATGAGCCGAATCGACTCTAGGCCGTTATACCCTCAAAAGTGCACGGACCAAGCAATAAAACTTCCCGAAACTACGTTGTTAATCTCATTACGACGGATATGATGCGTTGAGTGTATACAGAGTGATCGTTGAAATCTGATAGAAGTGCCTGTTGTCCTCGCCTATGGGTATGTAGGGTGAAAGCTAACGTCTATGTAGAGTCTATATGTTTGAACTGTAAGTAAGCATAATGATACGTGTTTTTAAATAGCTAGTTATGACTCAGTGCCCGTTCTTACCTTATCGTTGAAGAAATCGCTATGTCCCACTGCAAGATAGGTGAAGTACGGAATACGGGGAATGAAGTTCTCCAAGCATTCAGCTGACAGCTCAGTGGATGTGATATCCAGTTCACATATTTTAGATTTTTCCCAAGGTGCAGCCATCATGTACTCATCCTTGAGACCTGGAACAGGATGAAAAAATGAACCGTCATTATTAACCATGAAAACTTAGTTTACATCACCGAGTTTATCATTTCACAGCTGAGAGTTACAGGTTGCCTTCTTGTAAGGCAGCGCAAGCTACAGTTGCTCAATGAAAAGGTTGTAAATCCATCTTGCTTTTGAAGATAAATCCTGGTTGTCCACGGGATTTTGCTCGTAATATGACTGATAGTTACTCCCCGTCCAAGACAACAAACTGGTAATGCGTGGGTTGGGATTCGTAATAGACAGCAATGGGTGAACCACTGATTATAATTAAGCAATCCTTGGCAAACAACCCATGCTTTTCGGACTAAAGAAGACTAACGTGGTCTACAAACTTGAATGCAACGACTGCGACAAACATTATGTTGGCCAAACGGGAAGAAAACTTGCTACGAGAATACACGAACACAAGCTTGCCAGTAGAAGACATGATCCAATGCCACTCGTCTCAATCCATGAAGACGGAGAAGGATACACGATCGATTGGGACAATTTTCAAATACTCGCTCAAGCAAGAACAAAACGGGAGCGAGAATTTGCCGAGGCGTGGTACTCCACACAAAAATCGATCAATAAACACATCGACATTGATCTATCAGCGGTTACGAGCGAAAGAACCACACGGTCACGATGCTCGGAGCTAAGAAACCTAACAGCAACCAACGGACTAATTGGGTCAAAGGAAGACAATCACCAAAAAACAGAAGGCCAATCAAATGAGCAAAACCCACCCCACAAAGCAAGAAGGAAACGACCGAATCGCAGCATGACAACCACATACAGAACTGCCGAATTGAATGCACCCAACGAACCAACCAGACACAGGAGATTGAAACCACGTGAGATTCACCGAAGACCAATCAAACTAAACGACGACCGTTTCAAGAACTACCAGATACTGTTTAGAAGCTATATAATCACAGGCAGAAGAGGAGGAATTCACCCACTCAATCCTGCACTGACGATGTCACCTCGATTGGTGATGAAACGTTTGCAATCCAACTGCCAAGCTCGGCTAACAGACCAACAACCAGATACAGGTCCGTTCCGTTTTTCCACTGTCCTCTAGGGAAGTCACGGTAGTTTCTCTGTTGTTCCAGATATTGCTTGCATATTGCTTGGATATTGCCTTGATGCAGATATTATGGTGAACGTTGAGGTATGCGGTCTTTTAGTGTTATCTTTCTCTCTTGCGTTGTAATCCTCCGCTCATCAATGTAGAGAAGGAGATATAATGATATTAGGCTATAATTGTATTATTTTTCCTCATTGAATTGAATTTCTCGTGTAATTTGATGATTATTTGGCGGAGCTAGTTTTTGAGTCTTCATCTGAAGGCCCAAATCCTTCCATTTTTTGCGTTCGGTGTCCGCGAGAAGCCTGAATCCGGTGTATTAATCTCCGCGAATTTCAAAGGATCTAATCAGGAATAAGTGACAAATCATGGGATCCTTCCTAGCCCGAGATCCCTCAGGATAAAATTCGATTATGCAAAAATTCAGCGACATTGCTGACAGAGTCATGGTAAATAATTGCACACAGTTTTCTATAGAGGAGAATGTCGGTAGCTCAGGTAGCGCAGATGGTCGTTGGCTTGTTCGCTGAGCTGGGCAATTTGGTTGCAAACGTTTCATCACCAATCGAGGTGACATCATCAGTGCGTAATTTTGCGTAGCGGTGGGTTAGTGGTTGGTACAGACAATTACGCACCGATGATGTCACCTCGATTGGTGATGAAACGTTTGCAACCAAATTGCCCAGCTCAGTGAACAAGCCAACGACCAATTGTAAACAGCTTACAGCCATGGAACAAGTCCGTTACTTCATGTTTATCGATGTTTATGATTGTATGTTTCGTTAAATGTTGTATTATGTTGTTTAACCTATCAAAGGTGTTTTTTAGTGTTGCAGCCAGGATTCCTGACTCTATACGCGCAATATAGGCCGCTTTGCGCTTTATTTATCTTTTGGAACAGAAAAACGACATTATACATTTTCACCTTCCGTTTTTCCGGATTACAAAGGCTATATAGCTGCACCTTGGTGGTTCGCTGACATGGTCTCTCGCAATCACAACTAAGATCGGAAAGCAATCCACATCCTGTAGTGAACCCGTGTGTAGACTTTCCAATTATCAACGTAAAATGGAGTTACCTACAGATCAAAAGATTTAGATATTTCAGAGCGAGGACATTCAGTGCAATTTCTGGTACGTTAGAATGAATAGAACACAACAGCTATAGCCTTAAAGACAAATGCATCACAAATCACTCTCACTCACAGTCACGTAGTACCGAGTTCGGGAATAGTCAAATACGTTAAATATTAACGGTTCACTTGTTTCTCCACAGGAAGTTTTCTAATTGGGTTGAGATTGTCGAGCGGCTATTGTAATGATATGGCATGAAGTAGTCCACACTTAATGTCTCGAATACATTTGGATATTACTGAATATCCAAATAATGCATTTAGCAATGACCATGTAGGTCATTTCTGAAAAACCAAAGGCACTCATAGCAACCATCATCATTCCAATCCATAGGCTACTCGTGCTACCTCTTATTTTATAATTTCTCAAATCTCATATGGTACGCATTTCCAATCTAAAAAGAATCAGCAGATGAAACAAAAGTGTAACGGAAAGCCGTATTACAGAACCGCATAAAAACGGAACCAGCCGATGGCAAATGAAATATCCTGCCAATAGCTAGACAATGTTTTCTATAGAGGAAAATGTTGGTAGCTCAGTTATCGTGGATGGTGGTCGTTGGCTTGTTCGCTGAGCTGGGCAATTTGATTGCAAACGTTTCATCACCAATCGAGGTGACATCATCGACCACCAGTTAGACAATGTATTCCACAATATCTTTCAACGCAATAGGGAAGCAGCCATTTGTGCTTGTGAAAGAGCAATGGTACTAAATTATTTCCATGGAGTCTGCGTTTCTGACATAGTGTAACTCACCGCAATGTTCCAGAAGGAGGGTCTTTACTTTGGTGCAGTTAGCAATTAATAGGGAAAACGATGAACCTTTGACGTTCAGACAGAAGTTGAGCGCGACACATTCCAGGTGGATGCAGTTTGTAGCTAGGAGCTCTACGTGACTGTCCTCAATAAAGTTAATCCCATACAGGTTGATCACACGCAGATTGGGTGTATGCGCTTTGATTTTGCTGATGTTTATCACCTGTGGGCGAAAAACGATGATGATAGTTATGTGGCGTCCTTTACCTTTTATTCTTATAAGGTAATCTAATGGATGGTAAACGTGGCTTTTTCACGTGAACCAATATTACCAAAAAAATTCAAGATTCTTGACAAAACAGGAGCTTGAAAAAATCTTACCTCATAGATTTCTTCTTCCTCCTCTGTGGCTTGTTCAAAAGTACCTAGATTAAAATAATGGTATAAGTGAGAGCCTTTTGCACCTTAATCATCTTACATAAGCTAACTGGTGTATTTCTGTAAAATAAGGAGTCACCAATCCCATGGAGCATTGTCTTGGTGTGACACTGATCAGAGTTACTTATTGGTTACGAACTGGCGTGCCTTAGTCCAACAAAGCTTTTGCCAATTATTGCTCGCTTTGAGCACTACCAGAGAGAAATTAAGTTGGCCAAATTATCGGTACAGCGACGCAAACTTGTGTACGCTTCAAGCTGACCAAAATATCCTCAGTTACTTTTACCTTTCCACAGGGAAGGAAATTCGTTTGGACTCATCTTTTGCAAAGAATGCGTCTGAATTCTTCGCGAAGACTTTAAAGATCGGATTGGCAAGATGACTTATGTTCCTCCGCGAAAACACAGACATTCGGAGAGATGTCCGTCTGGCAGTCCCAGAGTAATTATTGGCTGAAGGTGTGACAGGCACAATTTCCTCAAAATTTAGCTTGAACGTTTGAAGTAGTGTAATGGACCCTCCTTTGAAAATGTTACACACTACTGGTTCACACTAAACACCACCGCTTTGTTTAGATTTGCATTCTAGACAGTATTCCTTGCTCGGGTTCAACAATGACCCCTGCAACCACAAAAAATCTCATTCTACCTCGGTCGTCTCGAGCTGTAGTCTATAGGTGCGGCTTCCCTGCTACATTTGACAGGGCCGGTAAAAGTGAACAGACTAACAATGACTCCTTCACAGGTTGTTGATGAGATGGCCAAACTTGGCAGTTGACTTGCAAATTTTTCATCACCCTACGAGGGATCATAACCAGTGGGCAGTCAGATGGATACTCGTTTCTGCCTGTGTGACTTCATATGGCATTTGAAGGTTATTTGTTAGTTCTGAAAGTGTTTGGCTTTGCATGAATTCAATTGCCTGTTGGTTTTCTTTGTTGCGTTATATTATGCACTCATTCTTAGTAGCCTCTTCCCCCATTTGATTGACTCCTTCCAGATTTGGATTGCGTTGTGGTCCGATTTCCCTGAGATTAATTAGCTGGTTCTACCAGCTTATTCTCTTCGTTGTACTGGCTGACATCTTTGTGTCCTCCAATTGATTTGGTACTGACTGGATGCCTCCACCAATCACATTTATGTTTTTTTCGTGTCGTTCTTTCTCACCTTTTTTTACGAGTTGCCCGTGTGTTTGCTTCTGCAGCTCCGTGGTTTTGGCGTTCTTTTGTAGTAGTTGGGAAACAGGGTCGCCTTCGACATACTTGGTAACAGCTTTTTCGGGGGAGTACCACACTTCCATAAATTCATGTTCTTCCTTCGTTCTTGTCTGAACCCATATTCAAACGCGGCTCCAGTCAAACTGATTTCCTTCCTGATCCTTTTTCTCGGAGATGAAAGAAAATTGATTGTGCTTTTTGTAGCAAGTTAGTGTTAATATATTCTGGTGGAAAACTTTCTTCCCGCTAGTTTTATACACTAGTTGTCACACTTGTTGCACTGAATCCTTCTAGGAGCCAACGGTCCCATCACTATTTGTTTATCTCGCGTGGCGCACCAATTAAGATTCAGATTACCCCTACACGGCGACACTTTGTATTCCTTTCTTTAAACGAAGCATCAAGCGCCAGAATGTGAATGTTGCTCCTGACAAACCAAACGCCACCAATCGGAAGCATGCTTGTTTGGCTGGATGCCTGCTGATAGTTGCTTTCGGCCGGGTGCACGAAGCAGTTCAGCGAGCAGGAGGTTGATCATTGTCCGCTTATTTTATTCCCTTGCGCCTTAACAATCGCGATTCTGACTTCAAGAGAAGTAACTCATATAATCTCCAATGAGAAGACAAACGAAGACACTTCTTAATCACAGGTTTGACAGGGTGCCTGTTTCCCAACATCGGCGTCACTAAATTTTAAAGAGCCTTTTTTGTACTGTATCCACTGGGATATCCACGAAGAGTTATTACAAATAGCCGAATTTTTATAATGTAGGCGACTATAAACACTTTTAGGGATTTCGTCGGAATTCAGGCAGAGACTGGCTTTGCTTACACGACGAAATCCTCATTTAGAATTTTCGTATCCTTCCATACACTCAAAAAAGCAAGAGAAAGGGAAAACACTCCACAAAAAGGGAGACCGTTTGAACTTGCAAGTCGTAATTTTGATGATCACGGGACTATTTGATGTTAATTCCGTAAATGAAGGATGAGTGGCGCCCTATCCTAATCACGAGTCAAACATGGTGTCGATTGGTCGCCTGCGTCCGGGCAGTTAACTGTTCAAATCACTAGTGAAAAGATCGCGGGTTCAAAATCTCTGGAGTTTATCAAGACAAGTTCTGCTGATTGTTTCTAATCAGCGGGAAACAGCTGTGAAGTGCTTCTCGGATTTCAGGTTAGTATGGATCCGTTTACACGGCTACATTCATTTTGCGTGTAGTGGGATAAAAGATTTTTTGTCAGTGCTAGGTATATAATGGTAAACCAGACGGAGCAACCGCTTAGGGACTCTTTAGTCATTTTTGGTGGCCAATGTTTTCAGCAGCGTTAGGTCTGCTCAAAAATGTTGAAAATCAGCGGGCAAAAATGCTTCTTTTTGGCCCAGTACGGATTATGTTCCACATCATATCAAATACCATTATTCCAAGAGGTCTAAACGTGTATCAAGTCAGCCTAATAACCACCAAAGATTAAAGTAAATTCATGTCTGTAAGTTATTTTAAAACTAACATATCATCTTAAACTTACCAATTAAGTGCAACACCTCCAAGGACGAAAGACAGGAATAAATCTTCCTCATCAACCCTTCCATAAAGATGACATCACTAAGGCATATGCATAACCAGCGGAGAGAAGTTGGGAACGCCGCGAGTTCATTAAAATCGTGCAGCTGCATAGCGTTGCTAAAGTCCAAAGTCAAATTTCGCAGAACAGGACACCGGTTGCCAAGTTCCTCGAGAACTGGCACGGTGATCAGATCGCTTGATAGATCAATATGTCGCAAACCAGCTCCTGAGCGGTGATGGATGAGATTGAGTAGATCGTCAACAGAGCGCACCTACGATAAAACAGGCGGATAAGGAATAATGAATGTACTTTTGAAAATGTGAGCATTCCGGCTAAAGTGAGCCAAGAGACAGTTTTCCTAAAAAATACGCGGGGGAAGTGCAACAAAGAGGGGGCGGTCCACAGTGGGATGGAGATCTTTGCATGAATATTTATTCTTCTATTTATAAGACGCAATGTGTTGCTCTAATTAGAAATTCGAGTTCCACGGAGAAACTGGGGGATAAAAGCCATCTCAACATAAGAATCACCTTATGAATTCGGCTACATGCGTTTTGTTGCTGTGTTAACAGATAGAAGCTGATGCCTCCAACAGGAATCACTTCCAAATGCTAGTGCGTCTAAAAACCGAATCAGCTGTATTCCATCACGAGTCTATTGACATTGTTCACCTGACGCTCGACATAATTGCTTTGACCGTACAATGTTCTACTCACACCTGTAGCCAGTGGAATGCTTGTCATTGAAAGCACGATACCAGTCCGTTTATTAACTTATTATGCTGCGTTCGCTCTGAAGATGTCACTACATACGGAATGATTCTATGCATATCTCCCCTCGTCATACACAATCTATATTCCTCTATATTGCACATGATTCATTCTCTTTATAACATGCTAAGCTGAATCGCAACTCACGATGATTACGACGAAATGTTCTGCGGACTTGACCAAAATCGTTTTAGGCATCATCCAAACCGATCTGATACATGCTCCTAATCATTTGTAAACTTAGCAGAACGCAGTACGAAATGAGAAAAAGACCACAGCTGAGACATTTCAATGTCACCAATCTTATTCAAGTTATGGTCTGTGCCTTACATTCGCCTCCCTAGTTTCACTGCAGAATTGCTGGAAAGGTGTCATAGTTTATCATATTTACTTATCGGACTCGATGAGTCGTTGCTGTAATAAATCACAACTTCTATGAGTCTATTTGTCCACAAGAAAAAGGTGCACAGTCATGAAGAACCATTCCATAGTGTATTTATTTCAATTAGGAAACATTTGGTGAAGGTGTGTTAATATAGGATGTGAACGTTGACATTCTTTTGCTCAACACAAAACGTCCGTCAACCTCATTCAAACGTATAGAGTATGTGAATTCAGTTTCTATCCTTAGTTTAGATTATGCGTTTTGCCCTTGTTTGGCTGAATCGGTTCGCTCAGAGCATCGGAGATGAGGAAACACAATTCACATCTACAGGTCAGACGACTCAGAGGTATGATAGTTCTGAAAAAAGTCAGTGCGTATTCTTTCGACGTGTGCTGATTAAAGTTTGTTTCCATCAACTGGAAACCCACTTTGGGAAGCATGGATCATTCCACATTACCAAGCGTACACAGGTAGCAAAGTACATGACCGCGGGTTTGAAGGGGTGATTAGTTTAACGGGGAACTAAGAAGCTATTGTCGGAGTGTTAAACGGACAATTATAAAACGTGTTACCAAATACTCCAAATTTTTGGGGTGAATTACGCAAGTACGCAACTGAGAACTCCTTATTTACCAAATTTTGCCGCACTCAGTTTTCTTGACATTACATCAAAGCATATTTTTTTTATAAATTTAAATGTTGTAGTTCATTCTTCTCATCAGGTACGGTGCAATATTATTGGAGTCACATTTGTAGTGCTATGGTACGAATGTATGCTACCTTCCTGTCGTTACTTTGGAATTCGCTCCTTAAATGGACTGGCCAGGAATGATGAATGCGACATTTCTTCATTCTGGCCTGTGGTTTCTACTTCTCTTTACCAGACTTCAGAACAAATGGTCCCCATTATTCATGCAATAAAGACCCCGTTTTGAGGATAAAAATTGGAAATATTTCAGCCGAGGTTGCTTTCATTTGTTTTCAGTCTGTAATGGACAAACTCGACCGACATATGCCCAGGTTTGTTATTCAGTTTAGCGTTGCGATACGAGTGAACTCACATACAATCCTCCGTATTCAGGTCTCATGTTGAGTGATTGCCATAGGGATGGATCATATGCAAATCTTCGCCACTGCTTGCAAACACGAGCAATATTGCATAGCTCTGATTGATTCAAATACGAAAGGATCTGGAGCATCAGCTTGTCTGGTAGGCGAGTGATCAAAAACTAAAGTAAGAGGTGAATAAAAATAACCGTTAGTGGGTGGATTACAGTCTTTTTCATAAAAATAGTACTAAGATCAAGTGGTGCCAAGGCATTAAAATTCTGACAATTTGTTGGATTCTTTGGATCAACTGCCTGTCATCCGTTGCCTTATTTCACACCGGTACTCGCAAACTTGGTCGAAATGTATGTTAATAATGAATCAAGCACGCATAAAGTGATTTTGTTTGAAGACAGGACAGAACATGCTTTCGAGCGATTGAAGTGATATATTATCCATTCCAGAGGATCGATTGTGACAGTCACGACTTTGAAACCGCCTGGTTCATGTCGAGGAATATGATTAGTTCGGGCACACCGGCCAGTTGTTGTTATGTCGACCGGTTTCGGCAATTGATTTCTCCGTCAATAAGGAGGAGGTTATCAGTGTGCTATTGAGTAGGCATTTTCCTTCTTCTGTTTAGAAACTACACACACATACTAACTTATGACGTCAGCTTGATTACTGCCGAAGCGTCTGCAATGCAGTAACTAATCTCGGCGAACATACCAAAATCAAACGCTTGGTCCAGAAACAATTTACACAGCACTGTACAGCATCATTCACACAGCAACCTTGGCGAAGAATAAGGTCATTTCGTTCACGCATATGATGGTTCTTTTGGGTGACATTTGGGTAGAATAGTTTTCCTATGATGCTTCCTCCCAGTACACTATGTAACGCAACCAATCGATGCTAATAAAAAACACGAAATGTCTGAACGTGACAAGATGAATCTGATCGCATTACGCTTATATCATCTGGGTTCCCTGGGTCATGCTGGAAACATTGCTCCCTTCACTACTAAAAGTGTAAAGCAAGCCAGCCACCCGGAGAGAGACAGGCGAAGACAGAAAAAAATTAGAGGAATTGAACCGGGTCACGTCTTTCAGGAACTCCAAGTCCACAGTTAGTAGCTTTCCCATGCACATCTGGTTCACATATTCGGCTGCGTAAGGAATTTTAAGAATCATTTGTTGAATTGCCATGGGGAAGCACAGTTTTATTTAAGCGCAGTTTTTCAGCTTAGTTTGAGTTAATTGAACTGAACAGTTTAGATTTGCAGGGACCAGTGTTTCAAAGCAGCAGTTTCAAAACTATTTACCTACCAAAGACACCAAGGGCAAAAATAAAACTTTAGTTTTAAGACTTACGTCATCACATAACGTCGATGCCTTTTATGCCTCAGAGTTCCTTAAAGTGGCCAGTAAAGTGAAAATGTTCAGATTGTATTAGTCATTGGTAATTTACTTCAGTGAATATGAAGCCAACCAAATAATGGTATCCCCTATGTGCCTCTATGCCACTATGAATATGTTACATGATGTTTCGAAGTTCTCAGGCCTAGGCTTGAGCATCCGAGGAATCGATGCTGGGTTAAAATAATGGTCCGCCCGACCAGCAAGCCGATGCGTCTACCAGTACGCTGCATGTACCTCAAAGCTCGTCAAAGTTTGCGACTTGCTCACTTATTTATAACAAACCCTTCTCGGTCTAGCCAAACTCACTTCCTATAGGACTTAAATCGTTTTTTTTCAGGAAAGAGCTCAGTGTGCAGCGCTCTTGAGACTTACATGCACTACATTGTTCGGTTAGAAAGAGATGCTTTGAATGCACGCACATTCTATTCCACAAAGTAAAGTGCCATTGGCCCGAAAAATGACGGTATTAGTGACAGCGTCAACGATCATAATAGGTACACGGGAAAGTCTATTTGGAAAACTGCTCAGTCTATTTTCTCTATCCGGCATGCCACGATTTCTTTACCTCCTCAACTGCGGTTCTCAAAGTATTTAGCTGTGTACTCTACTGAGTGTAGTTTTGGGTTTACTGAAGGCAGACGGTGTTGTTGAGTTTTAACGTTATTCTTTACCAACATAAAAAACTCGGGTGTGGAAATTTTTAGGTCAGTTTGTTAGAATAAGGCCTTTGTGGTGGCTTCTTAGATCAAGAAAGGCGCACATATATGTTGCAATGTAAACGATGCACTCTGTATTCCTAGATGGAAACAGTCTCTTTACAGATAGGCCTTAAAAGTTTAGTATAATCCTAAACCAGGCCACTGAGTTCGAATCTTTCGCGTTACACAACCTCATGTTTAAACAACCTTGCCTGAATGGGCGGCGGAAAATTTCAACAGTTTTGACCATCGGTGGCTTCAATGACTAAACTACTCGATTAAAAAATATCACGATTAAGATGTTCTGTCAGTTTTGGACAGGGGTGTTGATGATTTCTACAATATTCCGGCATTCATGTTTCGCTCAACTTTATTGCTCAGTTCGCTGAACGATGGATCCCATAAACGTTGCACAGTAGCATAAACTATGACTTTCGCAATTTGGTGAAGGGCGCTACAAGTTTTCTGAGAAGATATGTTGTTCATTTTTTATGGACTCTTTAGGTGGTAAGCTTTGGCGTCAATTTTTGCTCACATATTAGATCAGTTGTTTAAAATATATGAAGGGGCACACTGCTACCTAACCTAACTACTTTCAACTACAATAACCTTTAGATATATCAAGAAGCAATGCAGTGGCCGCGCTATAACACCCTTTTTAAACATCGATTAGTAGGTTAAGCAAGAAGCTTTTAAAAAATTAAGATCAGAACTCACATCCACGTTAAAGACCGAAGTTCTGCGCATGACGGACGTCCGCCTCATATCTCTAACCACATCCATGATTGATTTGGCTGCCATTTTGTTTTTTTATTTTATCCAAAGCCACACTGAATATAATAAATCAAACCGCAAAGTTGCAGCCTCTAGAGTAATCCGGTGAAAAATCCACCGACTATCTTTTGATAAACAGTTACACTTTGTGGTCTTGGCATGATTGGTCAGTTAGTGCTGCGTGTTTAACGCTGGCCAAGTTAGCGGCACAATGTACGCTGATCGATTAGTGAAGATAGGCTACCATTTGCCTGAATGTGGACTGTGACGAAAGATCGATAGGACAGCGTTTGTGCTGTGGACAGATTGGAAAAGTTAAGTGGGCGTTGCTTGACATTTACGCAATGCATTTACTGGCAGATGCATTCTGCATATATTGTTGTGGTTTAACGCAAAACTTTATAGCTGAACAATTGGATGAGAAGGAATTAATTAAAACGCGTCCCCGTCAAAATTATCCTTGCGCTCACGAAAGCTTCAGAGTAGAAATTTAAATTCATGCATGATGAACATAGAATACGACAGCGTAATATATCCAAGGCTGCCAGTTATTCGTCCTTTCTCGGCTAAAAATGGACATGCGTTGAAAAAGTGAGGTAGGCCGAATAAATTTAAACAGTATATTGTTTCAAAATAAGCTACTAAAATCAGGCTTATCATTTTGCCATAGTTCATGGTTGCAGACCAAGCTTCATGTAGAAGTAGCTTGCAGTCAATAGAGGGTGAACTATTAGCTAGCGATTTCAAGCCGTCCTGAAACTAGTCACAGCATTCTTTTACAGCTTTATACCCGAGGCATGTCAGCCTTTGTTTCTTTCACGAGAGGAAACATTATCAGTCGCAACAGCCTTATTGTTGTGTAAAGAACTGGTTCAATGTTTCTGTCGTTTTCCATGCTCGTGTGTTGCACTGATCCCAAGTGTATTTCTGGAACTGCTATCAAGATTAAGTTTCAACTTTCCGGAAGTTCACTTTTGGAGTGTTGGTTGACCGTAACGCTGTCCTACCTGGTTAGGAAGTCAACTCTCTATTTTTGGAACAATCACAAATCGCTCTTGCTGTGCCGCCCACAGGAAATATGTTCATGTTGACTATCAGCTCGATAAATTGCTGTGCCAAATGACGCCTTCGGTGAAACAACAGTCTTGAACTGAATCGCCTTGCCTCACTGGATGGCGTCGGGCGGTTTGGTTGTATTTAGTAAGTCGCGACAAATGATTTAGTTGGTTGAGTAAGGTGTAACTTTTGGCGAATTATGATACAGTTATATAAGGTATATCTGCTTATCAGACCCCTCTAACAAAGACGTGCTTGACAACCTTTGGGTCTATATAACCAAAATGGGAGAAAAGTTGCTGGAATGTGATGCAACCATTCGCGCGGGAAGAAGTTTGTGTCCCACTGCTAGTGAAATATGACCTTATCTAAGTAGCACCGAGAGCTGCCTAAATGCGCCAGCTTTTTCAGAATAAAGATCACCTATATAGAAAGCTTCAATGAATCTATTGAAACTCCCTTACTTTTGGCTGTGTTGTTTCGCACAAACGTCTGACTGCACTTTCTGAAAAACGTATTCAGCATTCTAGAGTGATTCTGTTCCTCAATTTTTAAGGGAACGCTGTGAATTTGCATGCCTGACAATATTAGGCATCTCAATACTTTAGCCAGTAGCGAAGTTTGGTTCGTAATATTTCGAAAATTGTCAGATGCTCATGGATGATAACCGCGAGTTTCTCTTGAAACAACCTCTTCACTTTGCGTGAATGTAAATTGCAAGGTGGAGAGTGCATAATCCCCAATACTGGCAATTTCCACAAGCTTCACCTGCTTAAAACGGAAGTGATGTTGATTCTACGTAGTGTTGGAAGGCTTGCCTGATATCATGGTTATCCCATGCCGCAATTACCGAAAGGGTGGCAGTTTCACAGCACAGACGTCATAACTCTTTTTTGTGTAATAGGATAAAATATCCATCATCCAGTAGCCTAAACACGCATTTGAATAGCACCACACTCTGAACAAGTCTTAGAATACAACCGAATTCAGAAAGAGTATAAATCTATCATATGGAAGGATGGGAGTGTCCGCAAAATGTGAACAACAGGGCACTGGGATTCTAAATCTGTACAAGAAGCCTTAGCTTCCGCTATCTTTGTTCCTAAGAACGATTCTTAATTTTTGTTACCTTAGAAGCAGATGACTGTATGTGGCCGTCGTTTCGACGCCTAAGCCGGAACAAGAACGGCTATTGAAAATGCGTTGCAATAGTTTTCAAATCGCGCGAAAACCGCTGACAGCACAGGAAAGATTTTATTCAGCACTCGCCATGGGAGATGCGGAAAGTAACATTCGATTGAGGGTTCACTTGTGGCACGTTAAATTAGCAAAGGAAACGAATATTTGAGCACCTTAAACATATGCTATTGCTGTTCTGTATGTTTTTGGACGTACACACTAATAACAAATATAAGAACACAAATACATTTTTAGCTGATGTATGGATCGTTAACACATGTAACATTACCCAAAAGATGCGACAGATTCAAGTCTCCTAAAGTTTACCTGTTTTAATTGACGGACGTTTGTTGATACCCTAAAAGTGATATCCGGAAAATCAGCACATTGAAATAATTCCCCTGTATTACTAAACTTGCCCGTCAGTCGTAAGGTTGAGGGTTGAGTGCATGGTAACATTGAAGCACAAAACTGCGTCTTATTTCATCAAGAAGCACCCAAATACACCTCAATAAAAATGTCTCCCTCTTAAATGAGTGTTTGGTAGGCAATGCCAAACAAAAGTATTGTTTTGAAAAGGTCTTGCAAATTATTCAACAGACAGGCCAAACGAAAAAAGTACCATTCTCCTCATCAAACACGCAGTGTACATCTTGCATCCTTCAAGCGTAAAATAAAATAATTTGTTCAAAGTAATTCTGTTAAAATCACGCAACAAATACATCTCCAGAAAATTTTGATCGTAATGCTGTGCTCAGGTAAATAATCAAACGCTGAAAAAATTACATTGTTTGTATCTGAGTAGAACGGGATTTCCGTATGAAGCAACCCCATGGATTTTTTCGCCTTCAAGAAAATTTTGTTGTTTTTTTCGCACAAAAAATAACCGGAAGGCATCTCGGATATTCATATCAGTAATGAACCAAATGCTCCCTGTTGAAAACGCTTCCTGTTGGTTACATAACGTGCTTGTAATAGAACAGTAGGGATCCTCGAACTTGAACAAATTCCCTTGGCACTCAAGGTGGGTCACATTCATAACCCTAAACAAATAGTTTGTTCTTCAGACTAACTCAAGTGCTGAACACTTAAAGGGAATTTGAGATACAGAACTGTGTTATCAATGATTTTAGCTTTGTCCAAAGAACCATCTTAATCCAATGGATCAGATTTCCGAAACGAAATATATGGAATATTTTGGGCATACGCCGACAAGCAATGTGCATTTTTGGTCCCAGTCAGAAAAGAATCTAATTGTATCCCCTTGACGCAATCTTAGGGTTAAACCGAGTCGATAAATAAAGCCAGGCAGATTGTATGTGTATGCCTTATTTAGTTAGTTAGTTGGTTAGTTGGCTAGTTAGTCAGTCAATTAGTTGGTTAGTTGGTTAGTTAGTTGGTTGGTCGGTTAGTTAATTTGCTAGATCGGCTTCCTAGGACAAACCAAATGAAACAGGTTTCTCCAGCATCTACTTAACTAATAATCAAGATTAACAAAAAGCTCAAACCTTCGATAATGTGACTATTAAGCAGACCTAGTATTTGTCAGTCTTACAAACCAAGCCACCAGAATCTGATACGCCAACTCGTGCCTGAAATCATGTTTTGCTTTCAGTAATTTCGAAGCTAATTGTAGATTCCTAAGTTTTTGATTATTATTATTGGAATATCTAACTGGATCGGGGCGCTTTGAGTCGCTTCGCCACTGTCACACGTTGATACGCCGAAATGGACGCTACTAAACCTCTAGCATGTTCCGGAAGCTAAACGGTACATTAAATATGACATAAAACGGTTTACTTTTATATAAGCGCTAATTTTGAAGGTGTAACTACCTTCGCACAGTCCGGCACGTCCACTTGTCGCATTGATGTGTGGATGCCTTCTCAATCGAATCATCCCATTGACGGAGCAAATGATCCGAATAAATTTCGTCTGTTTAAAATGGTATTCGGTTACCCCAGAGCGATATCATATGTATCAAACAGGATAGCCTGTCAAGTATTTTTCACCTAGTGGAAAAATAAGACAAAACTTACAGTATCCTTATCAAAATGCAACGTGAGTGTCTTGTCATCTGTAAAAAACTTATAACAAATAAAAAGGCACGTCATGGAGCGTTTGATGGCGCTTACGCCCAGGAACAGCTTGTTCACCAGGACCCGCAAAGACTCCAGACGTCACCGCCAACGTAAATGCATTTGGCTTCATTCCTAACGGATACAGTGTGAGTGTTCTAGAACCTCACGAGTTTCTTGAATGTCCTAAGCCTTTAGATTTCTTAATGCACTTAGAGTTGGCTTACTCAAAGCAACGTGTGCGTTTTAGATGAAAGTGAATGCTTCTTAATTGGAACACCTTGTACCCAACTGCGAATGGTTCTGTCAGTTCAGATAATGGATTGATTCAATGAATGTTGGGACCGCACAGAAGAATGCTTTTAGGTCTTTTACTGGTTCATATGAATACGGTGACGAATTTTCTAAAAAGTGCTGATCGTTTGGAATCGGCTTTGACAAGAAAAAATTTCAGAATCAGTTGTGAATTCGAAACAAATTTGCGAATTCGCTGGTAGTTTTATTTCTCTAATATACATATTGTGTTTTATTTCATTGCACGTTTCACAATAAACCTTAGTGATATCGCTGCGATTGTTTAGGTTTTAGTGTCCTTGAGATTCATCCCCTGTATGACCTCGTTATTTAAACGGTAGAACTGGATTTCCTGTAGGAAACTCGAATCACAATTTTTAGTATATGGTTGCTTATTTCTACAGAAGACAAGGATTTATTAACGGATTTT